GGGCGGCTGCAGAAGGGAGGGAGGGGGAACCGGTTAGGAAGAAGGCAAAGGAGGGGGTAGTGGAGTGGTCCCCAAGTTAGGGGAGAGGGAGGCGAAGGAGGGCATGGTCAAGGTACCACAAAAGCAAGTAGTGGGCGGAGCAGATGGTTCAAAAGAGTTGGGAGAAACCAATCAGTCGGTCGAGCTGCCCTCTAAGGATGTGTCATTGCAAGAGTGCTATCAAGCTAGGAGCTGGGGGGAGAGCAAGTAGATGGAGAAGAGACCGGCGCGACACTAAAGATCGCCATGTACCATGCTCGCGCAGTGATTGGTTACTTGGCGGGGGATAGGGGTGAAACCAGTGGTGTAGCAGACCGACCGTTGGGGGTTGTGAAGGATGTGGTTGTACAGAGTATGGCCCAAGTTACAGAGGTCGACCTCGTGAGGGGGTTGTGCTTGGCGCAAATGGAAGTAGTGACCTTGGCAGCGGCCCTGCTGGACAGGGCAATGAAGGTGAAAACGAAGACAGAGCAGCTAAAGGCCTAACTAGAAGGAGTGTGGGTGCAGCTGTAAAACCAAAGCGCAGAGACGGCAGGCTGGAGGAAGGCGGCGCGTAGTGCCTATGCGAAGGGGCTGGCGTATGCGTAGAGGGTGAAGAAGATGGAGGTTTTGTGGATGGTGTACGGGTACTTAGCCGAGCGTGCCAGTGTAAGCCGAGTTGGGGTCGCCTCCAAGCTCGTAGTCGCCAAATCTCAATTGGAAATGGTGCGCCATAAGGCGATATCACTGGAGTTTGAGCTGAAGGGCGAGCGAAAGAAAGTAGGCAAAGTCCAAGAAGCCTGCAACACTGCCCAGGAAAGGTTGGAGAAGGCCCTCGCCAATAATGAAGATCTGCGTAACCAAGCAATAAAAGACAAATAAGAGGCAGATGCACGCATTGTGGAGTTGGAGAAGACCCTGGTGAAGGAGAGGGCCAAAGCTGCAGAATTAACCAAGATAATGGCGTCGGAGAGGGCGACTTATCCGGATATGTGCTGGCGGCGGTAGAGTAGTTTAAGGGGTCTCCTAAATTCCAAATGGCCATTGACGTCGTGGTCGTGAGGAGCCTGGTCAGGGAGGATGAAAGGAGTGTTGGGCCTTCAGGAGTGGCTGCTGCTGGGAGGATCGAAGAAGAGATAATCCAAGGTTTCATCAGTCAGACTACTACAACCACGAAATGAGCCAGTACTAGGATAACGGCTGGATGAGCTTCAAATATAAGGCGCAGGAGCTGTTCCCAGATGTGGATTTTAGTGTGGTGAAGGTAGGAGAGGATGATGCCGCCCAAACTTCCCTAAACAAGGGCGTGAGAGAGAAAGACTTAGAATCCTGTGCAGGGGAGTAAGGAAAAAGCATCCATGGACAAGGCATTTATGTTTGTTTTGGTTTTGTTTTTGTTTTTGTTTTTGTTTTTGTTTTTGTTTTTTTGATGTAAAAAAGAAAATTTTATAATGAGGTGTATGATATTACAAGAAGTGAATAAGTAAATATATAAGTTCTGTAACTATTTGTTTTTGTTTTTGTTGTTGTTGTTGTTGTTGTTGCTCTTTCTTTTTTTTTTTTCTTTTTTTTTTCTTTGTGTGTGTGTGTGTGTGTGTGTGCTGTGTAAGAATGATGAATGGTAAAATTGGATAAGTAATTGAACTTAGGTAAAAATGACATGGGATAAGAATGAATTTAGAGTTAACTAAGTAGTGGCAATTTTGGTTGGCATGCTGGAATGGTCATATAAGTAGGGCCGATAGCATTGTATGGTTTAGCTTAGTCTGAGTGGGCTTGTAAAGCTCAGTTTGGCTAAGCTCTACGTGCTTAGTCTGGTTGAGGCTTGTTGAGCTCAATCTGGCTAAGGCTTGTTAAGCTCAGTCCGGCTGAGCCCTATGTGCTTAGTCTGGCTGAGGCTTGTTAAGCTTAGTCTGGTTAAGGCATGTTAAGCTTAGTCCAGCTGAGCTCTGCGTGCTCAGTCTGGCTGAGGCTTATTAAGCTCTGTCTGGTGAAGCTCTTCGGGCTCAGTCTGGTCAAGGCTTGTTAAGCTCAGTCTGGTTGAGCTCTGCGTGCTCAATCTAGTTGAGGCTTGCTCTTTGTACTCATTCTGGCTGAGGTTTGTTGAACTCAGCCTGCGTGCTCAGTCTGGCTGAGGCTTGTTGAGCTTAGTTTATGTTGTTTAATTTTGGAGTCAAGGCATAACACAAATAAGTATAGTCTTGAATTGTTGTCATAATCCCGCAATAATAAGCACATGCATAGTATGGTAAGAGCCAAAATGGACAAGTGCCCCGATTGCCAAAATGAAATATACAACAATGTGAAGCTAACAAAAACATGGAGGGTCGCTTTACTGAAAGTAGCGTCTCAAGTGTTCAGCATTCCATGGATAGGGGAGGTCTCTGCCTTCCATGTCTTGGAGACGGTATGTGCCAGGGCAGGATTATAATTTGACGACGTAAGGGCCTTCTCACTTGGCTGCCAGCTTGTTCTTAGTTGGATTTTTGGTGGCGAGAGTGGTTTCTTGTAAGACGAGGTCTCCCACTATGAACGCCCCTGGTCAGACTTTGCGATTGTAGTGTTTCCTTACTGTCTACTAATATGAGGCTAGTCGAACGGCGGCCATTTCTTGTAATTCTTTGATGGGGTCTATGTGGGCTTTCTAAAGGTCGTCGTTGATGTTTGGGTCAGAGTGGGAGACTCTAGATGTGGGTAAGCCGATTTCCACAGGGATGACCGCCTCGGCACCGTATGTAAGGCAAAATGGGGTCTCTCTAATTGGAGTCCAGGCGGTTCTTCGATAGGCCCAGAGGACATTAGGTAGCTCATTCGCCTAGAGGGCCTTGGCAGCTGCCAACTTGGTCTTACTGATGCGCAGGAGGGATCAGTTAGTAACCTTCACCTGTCCGTTGGCTTGAGGATGGTCTGGGGAGGAAAAACAAGGCTTCATGTTAAGTTTTACGCAGAATTCCTTGAATTTGGCATTGTTGAATTGTTTGTCGTTATCGAAGACTATGGCTTGGGAAATCCGAAAACAACACACAAGGGACTGCCAGATGAACCTAGTGGTATTCCGCACGGTAATTTTGGCGAGAGGTTCTGCTTCGACTCATTTGGTGAAGTAATCGATGGCTACTATAGCGAATTTGACTTGACCCCTGCCTGTCGGCAAGGGACCCATGAGATCAATTCCCCATTTGTCAAAAGGACAAGGGCTGCTGAGCGTAATTAACTCGATTGGAGGAGCGTGGGGGATGTTAGCCAGGCTCTGGCATTTGTCACATTTCATCACAAAATCAACAGCGTCCTGACTGAGTGTGGGCCAAAAGTAGCCTGTTCGGAGAATTTTATGGGTCAGAGATCATCCCCAGAGTGATTCCCACAAATGCCTTCATGTATTTCTCTCGTCACATAAATTGCTTGGTCATTGTTGAGGCATCTGAGATATGGTCGTGAGAATCCTCTCTTGTATAAGGTGCTACCAATAATGACGTCATTTGACGACTAAGTTTTGACTTTGGCAGCTTCGAGTTTGTTCGCTGGAAGTGTGCCCTGTTCGAGTTATGCGGTGATGTCTTGGGCCCATGGAATGGGGTCATCCTCGAGCAGGTAAATTGCTCGTTGATTTGGTGAGATTATTGGATGGGTCAGGTACTCAACCCGAATGCTGTGGCAAAGATCCGACTATTCAGTTGAGGCTAGTTGTGCCATTTCGTCGGCTTGGGCATTTTCTGAATGGGGACATGTCGAATACAAAAACTGTTAAAGATGCGGGTCAGAGGAAGAGCAAGGTCCCTGTATGATCGCATGACTTCTTTCTTTGCATCAAACTTGCCCGTTATCTGGCCGACGACCAACCGGGAGTCGCTAAAGATTTGGAGATGGTCAACTCCGATATCTCTAGCCAATCGGAGACCCACTATAAGAGCTTCATATTTGACTTGGTTGTTGCTTGCTTCAAATAGGAATCAGAGGGCACATTTGAAAGACTCCCCTTCAGGGGTTGTGAGGATTAAACTTGCTCTGCTGCCCTTTTTGTGGGATGAACTGTCGACATAGAGAGTCCAAGAATGGGGGTCTTCCTCCTCGATGGGGGCGTGTGCTGGAGGAGGCGGCTTGGTGGGGCTAATATTAGTGAATTCTAAGATAAAATCAGCGATAGCCTGGCCTTTGAGGGTTGTTCGTGGTCGGTAAGAGATATCATATTGACTTAATTCAAAGAACCACTGCATGAGCCTTCTTGAAGATTATGGTTGTTGCATGATCTTTCTCAAAGGCTGGTTAGTAAGAATCACTATGGAATGAGCTTGGAAATAGGGTCGAAGTCGTTTGGAGGCGATGACCAGGGCAAGAGCCATTTTCTCTAATAGAGGGTAGTTTTGTTCGGCCCCCCTGAGTGCACGACTAATGTAATAAATGGGGCGTTGTACTAATCCGTCCTCCCTGATGAGGGCAGCACTAACGGCGGTGTAGGACACAATTAAGTAGAGGAAGAGGTTTTCGTCTAGTAGTATTTGAGAGAGTAGAGGGGGTTAGCCATGCACTGTTTTAGTTGTTGGAAAGATTCCTCAGACTTGGCGTTCCATTTGAAGGCCTGCCAAAGGACTTTGAAAAATGGAAGACATTTGTCAGTTGCTCGTGAAATGAAGCGATTGAGGGCAACAACTCTGCCTGTTAGCCGTTGAACTTCTTTGACCGTCCTAGGAGACCGCATTTCTATTAAGGACTTGATTTTTCTAGGTTGGCCTCAATGCCCCTCCGGCTGACCATGAACCCTAAAAATTTACCATATCCAACACCGAATGCACATTTTTCTGGGTTCAGTTTCATTTGATATTTGTGTAAAGTTTGGAAAGTCTCATGTAGCTCTGCCAGGTGGTCGGAGAAGAGTTTGCTCTTGATGAGCATGTCGTCGATGTAGACTTCCATGTTTCGACCTATTTGGTGTTGGAAGACAGCATTGACCAGGCGTTGGTAAGTGGCTCCTACATTCTTCAAGCCTAATGGCACGACGTGGTAGTGATGTCAGTGATGAAAAAGTTGTTTTCTTGGTCGGAGGCGTGCATCAAGATTTGATTATAACCGGAGAAATCATCCATGAAGCTAAGCATTTCGTGCCCCGGAGTTGCGTTGACCAACAGATCTATCCTAGGAAAGGGTAGCTGTCTTTGGGGTAGGGTGAGGTCAGAATAGTCGACACAGAATCGCCATTTGCCGTTATTTTTGCAGACCAAGACCACGTTGGATAACAATCTGGGATAGTCCACATTTTTGATGAACTTTGCCTTCAGCAATTTGTCAACTTCAGCGGCGATGAAACTGTTACGTTCTAGGTGTAAGATGCGTTGCTTTTGTCAGAACGGTCAGAAAATGTGGTTTGATGTTGAGACGATGGGTAATAAAGGAGGGGGCGATACCTAGCATCTCGGAATGAGTCCAAGTGAAAACATCATTGTGTTCAGCGAAGAGAACTATGAGATCAGCCTTGGCCTGAGGAGACAACTGACTGCCAATCTTAGTCGTTTTTGTTAAGTTGGCAGGATCGATAGATACTTTGACGAGCTCCTCGACTGGTTCCCCTCTTATTAACTCTGCATTGTCTCTAATATCGAGGCCCTCAATGATCATAGCTTCTTGCAATTTGACTTCCTTTAATGAGGCGACATAGCACTCTCGGGCTATTGTCTGTTCTCTCCTGACTATGCCGACTCCCTGATTAGTGGGAAATTTCATGGCCAGATGGTACGTGGAGGTTACGGCTTGGAGGGCATTGAGGGCGGTGCGCCCTAATATGATGTTGTAGGCAGAAAGACAGTTGGTGACAAGGAAAGTTAGGAGTTTAGTGGGCTTTCGTGGGTATTTTTCGATGGTGATGAGGAGGTCGATAGAGCCCATGGATGTGACCCGAACGCCAGTAAAACCCACCAGAGGGGTTTGTAGAGGTGATAACTTCTCTTCGCCGATCTTTAGTTGGCGGTAGGCGTTGAAGAAGATGATATTTGAGGAGTTGCCATTGTCGACCAGAACTCTCCTGACTTTATAGTTAGACAGCAGAGCGGAGATGACCAAGGGGTCGTCATGTGGATAGCGAACGCCTATGCAGTCTGCCGCCGTGAAGGTGACTGGCTTGGACCAGTGCTTGGGTTGTTTGTGGGGGCGGTCTACCGTGGCTACTTCTCTATCAGATCCTTCTGGACTTTGCGGAGCTCAGCTCGCTATGCCGACCAAGACGGTTCGCCGCACGCGAGGCCACCAACGGTGACTCGTATTTCGCCTAACGGGGGGCGTCGTCGTGAGCTTGGGGTTAGTGTTGAGGCCAGTCATTATTCCACTCAGGTTATACTGGTCGTTGTGGGGGGTTGTGTTGGCGGTTATGGTTTGGGGGGCCGGTTCTAAGCCTCTTTGGGGGACGGGCAGAGGTGAATCGGCTGAGACGCCTCTGACAAACCAGATCCTCAACCTAATCTTTGAGGTTGACACATTCGTCAGTGTTATGGTCGTGGTCTTTATGGAAGCGGCAGTACTTAGATTGATCCCGTCGGGTGGATGGAGACCTGGATGGTTGAGGCTATTTTAGGTTATAGTCTCGTTGAATTTGGTTCAGGACTTGTTCCATGGGTGAGTTGAGGGGGGGTGTATCGCACGAACCGACCAAGTGAGCGAGTCAGTGGTGGTCGGTCCGAACGTGTGGGCTGATCTGGGTATGATAGGGGTCGGCATGCATCCTGCGAGGACCGTGACTTAGGGTCTTTTCTTTTGTCTTTGGAGGGTAGGGTTTTGGATGTGGAGTCTTGGCGAGCTGCCAGGGAGTTTTCCGCGCTCATATATTTTTGGGCTTTGGTGAGGAGGGAGGCCACGGTGGTTGGGGGATTTTTGAAAAAGGAGAAAAAGAAATTGGATGGGCGCAGACCGGCCATTAAGGCTCTGAGAATGAGCTTGTCGTCGTTTCCCTCCACTTGGAGGGCTTCGGTGTTGAAATGGGTGACATAGCTGCATAATGACTTCCCCTCCGTCTGTCGGATGTTTAGCAGTTGGGTGGCTAGATGTCGTTGTCGCTGAGCACCGATGAAATAACTTAGGAAGGATTCACTAAGCTAGCGAAACGAAGTGACTGAGTCTAGAGGGAGCTGACTAAACCACAGACGCGCCGACCCCTTTAGCGTGATAGGAAAAGCACGACACATGATTTCGTTTGGAAAAACATGTAAGATCATGAGTGTCTGGTATGCTTCTACATGGTCGACGGGGTCAGTGGTACCATCAAAAGTGTCGATCGACAACATCTTGAACTTAGGAGGGAGAGCTTTATCCCGGATAGAGGCAGTGAAAAGGGAGTTGATAGTGGAGGAAGTCTTGTGCTGCATGTTCTGCATGACCCCTTGTAGTTGGAGTTTCATGGCTTGCAGCTCTTCGTCCCAGATGGGAGCATTATCTCCAGAGGCAGGGATCGGGGATTGAACAGTGCTAGCCTCACCCTCGTAGGCGATCGTACAGTGTGGTAAAGGGTGGTCGTGGAAGGGTGGTGGTATATCTTGGTGAGGTTGTGAGCCTAATTGAAGATGGTGGAAAGGCTGAGGACCTGGTGGGGCGAATGGTGGAAAGGTTTCTTAAGACATGTGTGGTGGGAATTGGTGGTGATGATGGGCTTGTTCTGGGTGCGGGGGAACCATAGGTTGTGGTCACACTGGATCTAGCCGTGACCATCCACTTTGATGTAGGATGAAGACGAGGCTCCTTCCGACGACAATGAACACAACTGTCTTTTCGAAATGAAGTTTCCCATAGACGGCGCCAACTGATACAGTTCTTTTTCTGACGGGAGATGGATCGGGTTGAGTTGAGCTCCCAACACTTTTACTGGTCCTGAAGTCCGTGGAGCACCCCTGCAAAAGGTCCAATGGGGGAGATAGTCCCCCGGCAGACACTCCAACGATCGAGTTAGAATAGGGGAGATTAGCTGGGTAGAGAGAGAGAGAAGAGGAGAAAAATGAAAAACATACTCCTTGATGTGCCTTAGAAACTTCCTTAAATCATTTCCTTGTCCATTTCAGCCTGTCGTGCTGGCCGAAAGTTTATGTTCTAGCTTGCGTTGTTCATGGTGAATCTGTATATTTCGACGTAAGGAGGATGTCGCATTTAATGCTGTGAGAGTCTCAATAATGGCTGATGTATGATGCAATTACTTTGCAGGATCTTTGTCCGCTTACGTGTCTAGGCTCCTGTTTGGCCAAATGTTATTGGTCATGGTCTAATGTTGATGTTATTGGGCTTAGACCACAAGAATGTGGGTTGGCGCGTGATCCGTGGGTTGGGCCCTCGTGGTTGGGCCCATCAGTATCAGGATCCATTATAAAACATACAATTTCATTCAAAACGCTCTACGAAGGTTCTGGAAAATATTTTACATGGTTGATTTTGTGATTGATTATGTGTCAGTAAAAAATAAAATAAAAATAGGTGACTTGTCAACTTGTGTCCTTGAACTTGAAGTAACTAAGTTAGCAAGCGAATTATAATGTCAACGAATGAAGCTACAAAACAATTGGCAACGCGGCTGGCTCTTTCTCCCTTTGAAATTCCATCTCCATTATTTGTATATATATATATATGTTACAGTGTTAAGGCTGTTGGATATCAACCCATTGTAAGGGTGGCATCAACCCACTTCCCACATGGTGGGGTAGCTTCCAACCAACAAAAGAGAAAGAACAAGCTGGCCATGTGCAAGGCCAGCTTTCCTCTCCACCTTCTCTTAAGTGTTTAAATAGAGATAGTGAAGAGAGAACGAATAAGATACACAGATAGGCTGAGAGCAATATACAAGAGTAGTGTATACTCTGTGTGTGTTATCAGAGTGAGAGAGAATAAGCTATATAGAGAGACAGAGAGTGTGAGTTGAGTGTGTAATGCTCCTCTTGTTGATATATAGTGATATCGCTCCAGTGGACATAGGTCGAATTGCCGAACCACGTTAAAACTCTTGTGTTATTGTTTGTTTGTATTTCCTTGTGTGCCCCCGATCCCCAACAATTGGTATCAAAGCCCGGGTGGGGAAAAATTGAGTTTTTTTCCGAAAGTGCTCAGATTTCGAAGTGACAAAAATCCACTTTCGAGCATACCAGGAGAAAGCCCTAGAGGAGAGGAGTCCAGAACCAGAAAGAACAGACAAAACAGAGGTCGGTGTGGCCTCCACGCGCTGGTCAAAGTCAGGAGCATAAAGTCAACTTCGAACTAGAGGCCCACGCGCGGCCTGAGGTTGAAGACAACCATTCTATAGCCAATCCAAACACTTTAAATATTTGTCTGCGGAAATTTCACCACAAGGGTCAGCTTGGCTCTGTGGTTAAGGCTTGCTTATAACTCCACGGTCTGGAGTTCAAGTCTTGCAAAGAGCAATTTGGAAATTTTTTTTTTGGGCAAAGTTGAAGACAGCGACACATCAGCAGCCACAAGCAGCTGCCACGTGTTTGACATGTCATCGCCAGTTCACTGCCACATGTCTGCCACGTCATCGTCAGCTCACCGCCACGTGTCTGACACGTAAACGCCAGCTCACTGACACGCGTCTGCCACGTCAGCCGACGTCAGTGCCACGTGGCTGCCCACGTCAACACCCTGTTGACCAGTCAACAAAGGGGCAGAGAGTTATCCGCTGCTGCGTAGCTAAGGTACACCCGCAGATCTGAACTGTCCAAACTGTTTTGGCGTGATCTAAGCCATTGTGTGTCTGTTTTTGACGATCCAACAGTGCTTTCCAACTATTTGGAGTATTTCGAACACATTCGTACGGTCAGAATTTTAATCGAAGTTTCTGTAAAAAGGAAGAAATTTAAAATGGCAGGAAAAGGTGCAAGTTTCATGATAGAGCCTTTTAATGGCAATAATGACTTTACCTTGTGGCAGTAAAGGGTGAAAAATATTCTAACACGAGAGGGTCTGGTAAAAGCTCTTCTCAAAAAGTCCAACAAACCGGTAGACATGACGGATGACAAGTGGGAGGAGTTGAGAGAATTGACAAACAGTACAATTCAGTTATATCTCGGGAACAACACACTCCGAGAAGTCATCAATGAAGTAAATTCGGCAGAGCTATGGGCAAAGTTAGAAATGAGGTACAAGTCAAAGTCTTTGACAAATCAGTTATCTTTGAAGAAGCAGCTACATACACTTCAAATGCTAGAAGGTGCGAACCTTACAGAACATCTGGATGAGTTCAATAGGATCACAATGGAATTAGACACTATTGGAGTGAAGACCGAGGAGGAAGATAAGGCTATGATCTTGCTGGTCTCTTTGCCTTCATCATATGAGCATCTCAGGACTACTCTATTGTACGGGAAGGATGCTCTTGGACTGGATGAGGTGGTTGCTACGCTCATTTCTCATGAGTCGATGAAGAAAAAGGAAAGTAGCAAGCACCTAGAAGGAAATGCCTTGGTTGCATCAGAAAATGAGCAAGGCAGAGGCAGGTCCAATGATAGACGGAGTAGATACAAATCAAGAGGACGTTCGCAATCAAGGCCAGGCTACAAGAGAAAGTGCTATTACTGTGATCAGGAGGATCACCTCATCAAAGACTGTGCAAAGCTCAAGGAGAAAAAGGCAAACAAGGAACATGCGAGCTTATCAATTGTTGCTACTGCAGTAAATGCTAAGGATGAGTATGCATTCACAGTTTCGTCGAGTATGACGAAACCTGATTGGATTTTAGATTCCGGAAGTACATACCATATATGCATGGACAAAAAACTTTTTTCCACCTACCAAGCAAAGGACGAAGGTATTGTTCGAGTGGCTAACAACACTGTGAGTATGATTGTTGGCATAGAAACAGTACGACTCCGAATGGAAGATGGAAAAATTTTCACGTTGGATGGAGTCCGACATGTGCCAAG